ATCATGATGCCACTTTTGATTTCTTGTGTGATCTGCACAAGTTTATAAGACATTAAATGTCAGACATTAAACATTAAAATGCTCCTGTATAAATTTATATTTTAAATGGAATCCAGACATACACGATGCTGTTTTGTATGAAGAGCTAACTTTTTTTAGAAGAAATCTGCAAGCATATCAGCTCTAGACACACAAAAATGTGTATTTCAGATTATCAGAAATTTATCCCAATGTTATCACAGCCTACAGAATACACTTAACAGCTCCTTCTCGTGATGAAACATTATCCAAAATGATTTGCCATTTTCATTTGCTAAGGGCAACTGATGTCACTTTCCATTATATCAATTGAAAATGAGTGGCTATAAGTATGAATTTCGATGACCTAATACATGAATTTGCAAAAAAGCAAGCCAGCAAAATCTTATAACCAAGCTATCACATTAATAAGGTATTTGTCATATAAATTATGACACCAACAATATTATTTTTATAATTTGTAAGTGCATGTTGTTACTCATATGTCACTATCACCCCTATTATAGTGTCAAGTGATAAAATATTCTGAAGGGAAAAGCTTTATACTTAATACTTTTAACTGTAATTTACCCTGCTTTTGGAACAAGGGGCCCCCCCATTTTTGTTTTCCACTGAGTCTCACAAATTATATAGTCGCGGGAAGGTAATGCAAGTGAGCAGCCTGCATACACTGTTGTGTGATGTCCGTGGGATTTTCTGACACGTTGCTGTGGATGTGGGAGGTGCTGGCTTTTGGAGGTCCTCGGTGACAATCCCATCCCGCCAGCTGTGTGTCCTGGGGGAGTCACAACTCCGCCCTCTCTCTGACGTCAGGGTAGTAAGATAACACGAGAAGCCCCTCCCACAGGCCCCTGCTCAGAGGCAGGTGAATCGAAGTTCTCTGCATCCTCCCTTCTCAAGTGTGCTCCAAGCGCCAGGGGCATGGACGTCACCTGGGAGCTTGTCACAGATGCAGAAACTAAAACTCACCCCAGACCTACGGAGGCCAACTCTGCGTTTTCACAACGTT